GCCATGGCGGCAGGCAGCCATGGCAGCCGGCGAGGGGAGCCTGGCCGCCGGCAATGAAGGTCGTGGTGGCCCAGTCGCAGCTCGGGAAGAGGGGAGGGGGAGGGGACACACTTCCAGGAGGCGGCGCTCGCGAGAGGAAGAAGAAGCATATAAGAAAAAAAATGTTTCGTCCGTGGAAAAAAGCGAGCGAGCGAGGGGCACCGGCCGAAGCGTTCCGCCGGTGCGCCGATACCAAACGTTTCCCCAAAAAAAACATGCATAGAACTCACTTCAAAACACACACACACACACACACACACATAACTGGTTCTTTTTAACTTTGTTGATGGTGGTCTGCATGCTTACATTACATGCGTGGGTCACGTGCGAATAATACTGGCACATATCGTATAAAATTGGATCATCTATTTTGAAATGGAGGGAGTATTTTTGTTTCTGCTTCATATATGTCCGTTCATCATCTCGTCGTCACGCATGCGTGCGTACATGTACTCCAGTTTTTCTGGTCATCGATCGGAGTTTGTTTGGACTGCGAGCACTCGTTCGTCCGTATATATGAAGTTACTCTGTGCACCACCCAGCCGAGTGACAGCTGGTATACGGTCGAGTACGTGGACGCCACACGTACGATACTGATCGGTACATTCGGATGAGAGAAGAAACGTGGTGGATTGATGAGTGTGCGACCGGCGTGGCCCGGCCGGTCGGTGGGTCGCTTTATGTACTGTAGTAGAGCACGTACGTAGCTAGGAGGTACGAGAGGTACGTGACATGGCCATCTGACGCCGGCCGGCCGGCCACTGGCGGCACGCGTGCGCGGGTAGGACCACTCGCTCGAGGTGCACGTACGTGCCTGGTCGTACGACCAGTAGCGACGGCCAGCGTGTAAGTAAGCACGCGCACACACTCTTCTGGGTAAGTAGCTCATCTCTAGCACATGATTTTATTTCTCCCTGGCGTCGTACGCCAACTTGTAAATATGCATGGCAGTGCAAGAGATTCCACTCCATCTGATCAATAACAGTGCATGCATACACGCATAAGGTCTTGCGTGCGCAATCAATTTTTCGAAAACTTTTTAGGTTCACTCCAATCCCTCCGTCCAGAAATATTTATCGGATAAATAAAAAAAAATGTATCCAGAACCTAAATACATAAGTCTAGATACATCTATTTCTTCGACAAGTATTTTCGGACTGAGCTATTTCTCTGACAAGTATTTTCGGACTGAGGAAGTACTCAATTTATTCTGCTTTTCATGGAAGGGAAGGCATATATATATACATTCTTATAATGACAATTAAGGAGAGGAGCTAACTAGCTTCTTGGCTTATTGCAATGGAGGAGTAGTTTGTACTGTAAGTGTAAGGTCGGCGGAGTGCGGTGTAGCGAGCTGGCATGGAAGGAGTGTTGAGGAGGGGGAGAGGTTATGTACGTGGCTGCACAGCAAAGCCAACGTACGTACGTGAAAGCGATCGATATGCTAGGCTACAACCAATCCTAAAATCCCAGATTCATGGCGCGCGGTCGTTCTGTATGCGTGCGTGCACGCGCGTATGCATGCCATCATGCCCGCGTATGCTAGGCTAGGCGGATCGTAGCCAATGTGGCAACGTGCGTGCACGTACACACGATTATGAGTCCCTGAGAACACACGATTTAACAATGTGTGATAGTTTTTAGCAATTTTTTAGCACAAAAGTGATACTAGGTTTTAGGGAGATAAAAAAAAAAGTGATAATCCTCACGGACACATACATGTATTGTGGCAGTTTTTGGTTAAATACTCATTTGAAAGCACATGCATGTGTTACGCGTAACTTAATTTCTTCGTTGATAAAAGACATCTTATTGTTAATAATAAGTGCGTGATTAGGTCTCAGTTGACTAAAACTTAACCAAATTTTAGTCAAGTGACATAACATGTAAGAAAGAAAAAAAACTAAAAGGAAAATTTTGCACAGGTCTCCATGTAAGATCCAACAAATATAGCATCGACTGATACTTGGTGAAGTCTCGGTCAATTGAGACTTAGCAATTCCGTAATAATAATTCATAATGTAGCATCAAAAAGATACAAAATATTCCCTAAAAAGAAAGATAAAAAAACATATTGAGGCGGTATCCGGACTCTACATACTAACTAAGATGCATATATCCATCACAATCTAACATAAAGGAAACAATAAAGTTGAATATAACCGAAACTATGCCTATGTCAGTGCGGGTGGAAGATCTATCCAAAGACTTCTTGATGAGACTGCATTAGATGATCTTTGTACTCGTGCTTCTGTATGAGCCTGCAGTGAGAGTATCACTGTTTGTCACTTACGAGGCGCCCTAAATGTCTTACGTGCGTGTGGTAATAGTAAGAAAACTACATTGAGTTTAAAATATGATAGTACATCCCGTCATGGCATCTGGCATTCTTAATGCATTAGTCATGTGCATCCCTCGTGCCAGCGACATCATTCCTTTTTTGAACATTTTTTTTAAAACCAGGCACCGTTTTTTCATTCTTTTTTTGCACAGAAGACACCATTTCTTGTTGTTAGCCAGTGTGCAACATTGGATTAACCAGTGTATATGTCTGTTGTTCCCCGCACGCAGGTGGAGCTGACATGCCGAGGGCATCTCCTTCCTCCCTTCTTGCAGATGAGATACGTGAGGGACAGCATCTGGCGCGGCTCACCGGCGCCGAGCCAAGAGGAGGAGGCCGGGCTGCCATGTCGGCACTCACCGGCCACAACTACCACTGACCATGTCATGATACTCTTTTACAGCATAAGTGTAGGGAACCACTAGTTAGCGGATCAACCAAATCCCTCCCTTGTGATTATAATTAATCAAACAAGTTATTTGATTCATTTTTCCTGGTACTTCCTGCTTGTCTCTAATCTGCCGCTGATCTTGCTAACTTATGCTTAATTGGCCCCAGAATAACCAACCAATTAGCCATGAATCGTTCCTATCTGTTAATCCCACTTTACTTTTGCAAACTTTTGGAGTGAAGCATATTTAGTGGAGTCATATGTTTGGTACGGTTGTAAGTAGTTTTCATTCTAAAGCATCATCTGTTCAAGTGTATGCTCGCACTTGCCAGTTTATGTCCACTAGCTGTGTGCATGTGTGTTGCTGTAATTAAGCGAGCATACACGGAGCATTACTGAGCTCAGTTTGGCATCTGATAAGGCGATCGAAGCAGCAATCACGCTTACAAATTGTACACATGCATCGAACTGTCCAATTCATGATCAAAGTTTGAGGTGCCATTGGCTTTGTTGTGCTCCTTTTTTTTTTGCAAAATGTCAGCGCCAGACGCTCGCCATTTTGCCAGAATCTGTTTACTGAACTGAATTTGGACGAATTCGATCCTGTGGTGTGAATTTTATGGACTAGTCCACTCCAATTTGCAAATTTGTGGACTAGACTGAACCTGGGGGTGCAACTTTATGGATCTCTTGTGCATTGACTATTTAAAAAGTTAAGGTTATGGTGAACTAGTGTAGCTGAGATGGTTAGATTCTTTGTGATGGAACTAGCCCACCAGGGTAAGTCCAGGTGCTTGCATTTTTCTAGATTTATTTTAGTCTTTCTGGTGATCTTCGTTTAGTAGGAGGAGACGTTTTCATCGACTACGAGATGCGTATGGTGACTTCGTAAATCTCAAGATGTGACGCTGACTCAATGTCTCAAAGGTGCTTATAGAGGTAGACTGTGAGTAGATGTGTATGTTGTGGACATCTAAGATTGTACTATGTTTTAAAAAAGTTTGGTTATGATGTTGTTGTTTTCTTGTTTGTATTATTCCTTTTTCCACGGTGATGTGTATTTGTTGCTAACTCTCTTTGGAATTGTGGTGGACAATCTTTTGTGTTAACCTCTTATCGTGTGAGGCTTTCTCTTGTTGGACAGAACTCTGAAATACTAGATGATATCCCACTCGTTATTTTTTTATTGGTGAAAATGATGATTCGCCGGAAGTATAAACCATCTCAAACATAATAAACATTACATCGAGGACTGTGGACTGTCGAACCGCAACTGCGCTGTCACCGCTCCCATACCAGAGCCGACCGCAGTCATTGCCGTTGAATTCTTGAATCAAAATACTAGATGATACCCCACACATTTGTTGCAAAAATATTTTGCCATATATTTCAGTAGATTTGGTTGTATGAAACTTGATATTTGAAGTAATAATATGAGAACTAAAAGTGAAAATACATAGTATGAATTATTTTGTTTGATTATACTATAGTTGTAAAACTTTTATTCTACAAACAGAATTGCAAAAAATTTCGTGCATGTTCGCATGATGAGGTTGGTTTTCTCACATGCATAATTGCTTATTGAGGTGAGTCTTTTCTATGCATGTTGCATGATGAGGTGGTACGCTGGCACTTTTTAGACAAATAGGTTAATGCGGGCTAACTATTTTGATATAAAATATTTTAATATTATTGTGGTTTATACCTTCTATCTATTTTTTGCGGGTCAATAGCCAGAATTTAATTTGAGCTATCCACTTAGGACATGTACAAGATCTTTGGGCTTTCTGTAAGTGCATCTAGTGCCACCTCTAGTTGGTTTTGGAGTATTGACGACAAACGTGGTTGAAGGACTAATGTGTTTGTGAGAATTGCAGGATAACACAGGTAGAAGTCCCTCATTGATTCGGTTTACCTACCAGAGATGACCCCTAAAAATGTGTGAAGACATTGAAGACAATGGTGGTCTCTGAAGATATTCACAATGAAGATTATGACTTGATAAGACATTCACGTGAAGACTATGGAGTACGAAGACATAGTTGTTTCGTAGTTTCCTTTTCTTCTTTGTGAGTCATAGGAATCACAATACTGTTAAGTGGGTTCCAAGTGAACAAAGTTAGAGTGACTGATGTGATGCTCAACCAAATCCTATGTCTTTGAACGAAGATAATAAGAGCAAATCTTATCTAGAGCTGGATGAGTCAGCTTTACTTGTAGCCCAAGTCAAGCTGTCGTGTGTGTTTAAAATCTGGCCGTTGGACACGTGTCAGTTCCTTAGTGACCTAGGGTCATTTCAGACAAATCAGGTTGGGTTGCCTCCTGGTTATAAATAGCCCACCCCTACACCATAAATTGGTGGCTGCTCAGAGTTAGTGCATGGCTTTTGTCGTTTGAGAGCAACCCACCTCCGAAGCATTTGAGAGAGAGATCCTTGCGAGGACAAAACCCTAAACACCCAGAGCCAAAGAGTGTTAGGCATCACTGAAATCTTTCTGTCTGCGTGATCTGAAGACTTGTTACACTTGAGGACTGTGAATCCTCCAGCCGGTTAGGCGTCGCGTTTTGAGCGTCCAAGAGTCATTGTGGATCGCCGGTGAACGGAGTCTGTGAAGGTTTGGAAGTATACCTTGAAGACTTACCAGAGTGATTGGGCGAGGACTGTGTGTCCTTAGCTCAAGGGGAATAAGGTGAAGACGCGGTCTTCTGAGTTGAATCTCAGCCTCCCTAACCAGACGTACAGTTATCACAGCAACTGGAACTGCTTTACCAAATCCTTGTCTTCACCAAGCTACTGGTTCTATCCTTCACTTCCCTTTACTTTACAGTTTGTCTTCATGAAGTCATTGCTTTCCTGTATGATCTGATTGACTTCACTGAGTGAAGATTGTTTACTGTTTGGCTTCGCACTATCTTCCATCCTGATCTCTACTACCTAGCTGCTGATAGTCTTCGTGCTTTCACTTCATTGCTTACTTGACTATGGATTGTCTAGTGTAGTCTACCTTTCGCTGCATATCAATAGGTACATCTGTACTATTTGTCTTCAAAGCCCTCGTGTTTTGAAGACTTCCATAAAAATCGCCTATTCACCCCCCTCTACTCGATAACTAGCACTTTTAATTGGTATCAGAGCAAGGTGCTCCCTTGTTCTGTGTGATTCGGTTTAACCACCTGGAGTTTTAGCTATGTCGCCTGTAGGGATAATGAAAGTCTCCGCTGCGTGCCCTGTCTTTGATGTCACTGATTACCCCTACTAGAAGAATAAGATGTGCATGCATCTTGAAGCCATTGACGTCGACCTCTAGTATGTCGTCAAGAACGGTGTTCCTAAGGTCGGTGATCACTGTTGTTGATGTCAAGAGGTTCATTCAACTGGACTGGACTGCCAAGAACATCATATGTGGTCATCTGACCAAAGGACAATATGGTCGTGTGAGTGCTCTAGAAACTGCGAAGCTAGTCTGGGACTGGCTCTCTAAGGTCAACGAAGGCGTCTCGACCCAGAGAGACTCAAGGATTAGTGTTCTCCGCAACCTCTTCAACCGCTTCAAGAGAAATGACAATGAGAATGTCCAGCTCACATTTGATCGCCTCACTGATATCACAAATGAGCTTCCTGCACTAGGCGCCACTGAGATCACTAAGCACAAAATCGTCAAAACACTTCTGAGATTGCTTGACAGCTCATTCGACACCCTGGCCCTGATGATTCAAGAACGCCCTGACTTCAAGACGACATACTTGAAAGGCTCAACACACATGACTTTCTGCAATCTGAGAAAAGAGATATCTATGGTCCCAACTATCGCCGAACTCGCGCTTTGAAGGCAAAGGTTGTTTCCTCATCTGAAGAAGAGTCTGACTATAGTTCTGAGGATCCTGAATACATTGGAAAGGAACTTCCCATGCTGGTGAAGAAGTTCCAGAGGTTCACCAAGAAGAAAGGCTTCAGACAGTCTTCGAGATCCAGCTCAAGAAATGATGAAGCTTCCTCTCGTGACTACAAGAAGAGAATGTGCCACAAGTGCAAGAAACCTGGTCACTATGAATGTCCACAGTGGGACAATGAGAACAACAAGAAGAAGAGCAAGGAATATGATTCTGATGACAACAAGAAGAAGAAATCCTCAAAGTCTTCTTCCAAGTCTTCGTCGAAGTCTTCATCACACAAGAAGAGCTCATCCAGCAAGGTTCGTGCGTTTGTTGGCAAGGAGATGGATTCAGAGAGGAGTCTGCATCTGAGGAGGCGGAGGTGGAGTTTGAAGAGGAATCTGATTCAGGCATGGCAAGCCTAGCTCTAGCTTCAACATACGTCGCCAAGTCCATTTTCAACACTGAAGACAATGGCCTCGACACCAACGCTGATGCTGATGATGAGGATGACTCTGCTCCCACCTACTGCTTCATGGCACGTGGTGCCAAGGTAAACTCACGTGATGCTTACTTTCAAACATCAAGTGAAGATGACTCTGAATGTGAATCTAAACGTAGCTACAAAACACCTGCTAAAATTGCAACAGAACAACAAAATGCTATGGAACATATTCAAAAGTTGCTAGAAAAAAGCGATGACCTGTTGGACACGGAAATGACTCGAACTCAGTCCTTAATTGAAGACATTAAAAATCTTCACATTAAGTACGAGGAACTTGAAAGTTGTCATGATACACTCTCAACTACTCATGAAAAGCTCTCCTATGATTATCTTCAAAGGAAGCAAGAGCTTGAGAACTTGAGATCGGCTCATGAAGATCTTCAAAAGGAGATCGAGTCACTCCACGCTCAACAGATCAGTTCCGCTCAGGAAGACTTTGAGCCACCATGTTTAAAATGTCTTGAGCGAGCTAATGCTGCTTCTGTTGCTGGATGTTCTACTGCTACTACTGTTGCTATGTCTTCAACCGCTGATGTGGAGACTAACCCCTCTTCTGAGGATACCACTACTATTTCTGATGAGAATGCCAGGTTGAAGACATTGCTTGAAACAAGGATGTATAAAAGCCTCAAAGGGCATCAGACACTGTGCGATGT